GCAGCTAAATTATCCGAGGAAAGTGGATATGGAATAATTTTATTACACAGATTAACACGTAATATGGACTAGAACTTTGCTGACATTACCACTTCCTGTTGGCTTTTAACTCAGTGTCTGTCCTAGGGCCCAGCCAGAGCCCCAGTTCAGAGCTAAGAAATGCTTAAGGGGAGAAATTCCCTGGAAGTCACATGCAAGCACTGAGGTAGAGGGTTCCTGGTGACATGGCATGCAATATTAGATCCTACCTGGGACTATCTGAATCCTATTTCAAATCCCAGCCCCTCTTCCCACAGAGCAAAAGGGGCAGCAGAGGAAACAAAGTGCATTTTATTATTAGCCAGGCTGATGTACCAAATCCCAATGAGAAACACTTGGTGGATGGAGCAAGTGAGATCCTCCCATCCACCCCCTTCCCTCACATATGGTCCCAAATCTTGGGATCTGAGACACTCTGGATAACCAAAGGGAAGGGCTTGGAAAGGCCCCAGAGTCAGTCTTGGGTCAGATGAGCAACTAGCCTTGGGGACAACGAAGTAAGAGAAAATAAACAGTACCCATGTGTGTGACTTTTCTACAAACTATTATATGACCACCAACAAATGTGACCCAGTCGCTTAAGAGATGACCATGCCTCATCCTTCTCCTCCCCTTTCTCTTCCTCCTCTCTAAGTACAAACATCTACAAACATCAGAGAATATTAAACATGAGAGTGGCAAGGTACAGACACTGAATCAGGAGACTGGGTTTGGCTTGGCCACTTGCTCGCTGGGTGTGACTGAAGTCAGTCATAAACACTCCCTTCATCTCCTTATTTTACAATAGGAATGATTATGCCAAGCTCACAGGGCCGCTGTGAGAGATAAATTAACATGAAACAATCAATAACACAGCATTATATCACGTCACTGGAAGCATGTGCCAGTAACTCATTGAATCTGGGCCCTAATAAAAACAATTTTAAAATTAAAATGTCTAAAAATCAAATACATCACTTGTGGGTTACCTCACTGTTTCTGGATTTTCTACTAAGCTATTTTCCCTGAACCTGGTATAAAACACCAATATACAAATATACATCCAAAGTACACATGCATTCATATTTATATTTTTCTAATACAGCACTTCAAAGTAACATAAAGATTCTAGCAGATGCCAAATACTAAGACTTCTTCTCCTTGACACTTCTGCTCTCACTGCTTTCTCTCGTTCCAGTTACCCACCCTTACACTTCAATAACTCTCTAAAACTGGAGGACACAGAAGGGGCACAGCCACGTGGGAGAAGCAGCTAACTCTGGTCCTGTGAGCTCCAGGGCATAGCTGAAAGGGATGCAGTCCTTCTGCTACAATTAGAACACAGAGCTTTGGAGGGAGCTGCCTAGTCTTCGTCCCCAACCTGGGCAGGAATAACAATACCACCAAAGATTGCCTTGTTTGACACCAAGTCCCAGCACCTAGCATGGTGCCAGGTACATTGTAGGCACTTGAGAGACACGTGCTCAAAGTAGAAATATGTGGATAAATGTAATAGTGGATTTCAGCCATTCATTAAGCACTAACTGTTGGCACTCTCTGGGAATCTTAGAGCATAATATCAAATCTTTGCAACTGCTGTGGAGGCAGGTATGAGCCTTCCTCTTTGGAGGTATACAAACCAAGATTCAGAGAGGTTAAGTACCTGGTCCAAGGTCCACAGTGATCAAAAATCCCGGCCCAGGTCCATCTGACTCCCAACCCTGTGCTCATTCCAATAACCCAGAGAGACTTGAGGGAGAGCTTGGAAGCCACTGGAAAGCCTGCTAAACCCCATCTTCACCCTGCTACATGCTCTAGGAATGAGCAAAAGATTCGTGAAGCTTAGCAAAGCTTACCAAAGTATCTGAGCCTCTCACAGCCTGTGATTTACTGAACCAGTTCTTGAGCTAGCTTAATCAGGCATATTTTAACGGGAGGAAAGGGGCAGGACCACTAAAGCAACACAAGTATTTTTTCCTTAAACAGCATGAAATGTGCATTTGTGTGGGAGAATGCCTCAAATGCATATTAATGAGTAAGTAATGGCTAAAAGGAATCTGTCTTCAAAGCATCAGATGCACATAAAATACAAGCCAGGAGTACAATATTTACATAGTTCTCAGTACAAGCTTAATTACTACAAAGCATTAGAGTCCTGAGAGTCGGCGCATCCAGAAGGGCCCTGGTGGCAGAGACCTGCCAATGTCACCCAGGGCCCTCTGGATGAGAGGTACCTGGGAGCCAAGACATTAGCTCATAAGCCAAATGTGCACAGGTCCTCCAGTTCCATGTTCAGTGACATCATGTTAGCAGCTTAAAATTGTCCATGGTAGAAGAATTTACACTACAGGAATTGGCAAATACTATAAGTCAGGTTGCCCCTCCCTCCTACTTGGGGAGAGCCTAAGCAGCCACCCTTCCCAGCAAGCTTTGGGAGCACATTGTAAACCACCCAAACTCCACAGAGAATGTCATACAGAACCCACACAGAACAGAAGTATCCGATGTGGGAACTCTCAGCTCCTTTGAGGCTATTTTCTGGGGCCTCCTCTGCAGCACTGTGCATGGAACCCCTCCCTGGAATCCCAGAATCCCTGTGGCAAGGCAGACAAGAGGGTCTTTTAGCAATCAATAGCTTTGCACATGTCACAGTATGACACTCTGCAACACAGCTGACACACAAGGAATCCCTGCATGTGGCTTAAGGAGACTACAAAATCATTTTGAGAAAAATACATGTTATTCATGTTTTTTATGATGTTATTTTAAGACATCTTCCTTATATCAAAACACGAAATTATGAAGTCTCATGAAAATATTTCAGGGGGAGTGGGTAGAACAGATGGTCCTCCATATCCATGGGTTCAACCAACTACAGATTGGAAATATTCAGGAAAAATAAATAAAAATAACAATACAAAAATAAAAAATAATACAAATTGAAAACCAAAGTGCAATAACTATTCACATGCCATTTACATTATATTATTTATTATAAGTAATCTGGAGATGACTTAAAGTACACAGGAAGATGTGTGTAGGCGATATGCAAACACCATTCCATTTTATATAATGGACTTAAGCAGTCTGTGGATTGTGGTATCTGCAGAGGGTCCTGGAACCAGCCCCTCATGGATGCCTAGGAACAACTGTGGGCATATCTGTGTGTGTGTGTGTGTGTGTGTGTGTGTGTGTGTGTGTGTGTGTGTGTGTATCTTTGAAAGAAGAACCAAAAGCACCCCTGCAAAGATAAAATATCCCCACTCCTGTCAGGGAATGCCAGCTGATTACAGAGAGTCTCAGAAAGTTAACTGGAAACTGAGGACATCAAACAGTTCAACCTCAGCACATTTTTTGCAAAGCAATGATGAAAGTTTGGAAGCACAGGGCAATGATAGTATCATCAGTCAGATCCTCACGCCTGTCCCGGCAGACACAGTAAACGTCTATTTCCTGGGAATCCAACCCAAGAGTGTGAAGGATGTGAAAAAGAATCCCTAAGCTGCAACTCCAGTTATTTACTGGGGCTGTAAGATAATCTATTCTCCCTTCTGTGATTCCTGGACATGGGGCACTGGGGTGGGTCATAAAAAATAATGCAATTGCTCCACAAGTCTTAGATATGTTCAGAAAAAAATATTCAAAAGCAAGGACTGAACGTGTACTGCATGCATGTGTTTTTTCATTTAATCCTCTCCACCATCGTGGAAGATGACTGCTGTGAACTCCAGTCTACAGGCAAGGGCCTAAGAGGGAGAGCTTGGGTAACATGCCCAAGATGGCGCAGCTGAAAAAGAAGAATGCAGATTGGAGCCAGGGCCCTCCCCACTGCACATCCTGCTCCCCAGCTCCATAAAACTGCCATTAATAAAGCGAAGGCACATGCCCACCATTACCCCAGATGGATGGCTTTAAAATTATCCTGAGTTTTCTGTGCTCCTCATCTATTTCCGTGCATCAGCCCTGTCACTGAAAGTGCTGAGGGATATAGTCAATTCATTTGTTTTACATTAAGATGCATTTCATGGCTATTACAGAGAGTGGAGCTTCATGCTGAATCAAAACTCCAAGCATTCCCAGCTGCGGCAGTCTACAATTCCACATCTCTGTTTACTGGGGGCAGATTTCTAAATCTGTCTTCAGCTTCAAATAGTCACAGGACTTAGGAAAGAGAAGCAGCTAACTCTGTGCTGCAATCATTTTTTAGCTGAATTACTGAAGTGCAGATATAAATACAACAGAATTCCTCTGTATGGTAACAGCACATGAGCTAAGCCCTCTCAAGTGGAAATATGTGATTATTTACTGAAAAAACAAAAACTCACAAAATTTTAATAATTTAAAATGAGAAGAGGTTTTCATCAATTCTCATTAGTTTAAATGTTCTAGAATGTCTTTTTTTCTTTTCAGGATGAATAAGTAAGAAGCACACTCAATAAATATTTTTAGATACTCCAAAAAAATCCACCCATAAATATGCTTATAATAGCACTAGGAAGAAAAATCTAAAAACTCCACAATGTTCAATAAAAAGAATTGTTAAAGTATTTCCATTCAACATTGAATTACAAAAAAGCCCTCAGAACTCATAATTAGGAAGACAATATATCAAAGAAAAAAAAAACTGCTCCTGTGCATGTGAAGTAAAGAAAGACAACGGTGAACTCTCATCTACACGAACTTTATGCATGGACAAAGACTGCTAGGCAATACTGAGAAGTGAGCACTGTTGGGGGTAGTAGAATTTGTGGGTGAATTTTCACTTGTCATTTTAGACTTCCATTAAGGTTGTTATAATACTAACCAGGCAAGAAGTAACGCTGACAAACAATGATAGGGGCAATGACGACAATTACAACGAAGAATGAACATCGCCGGCAGGTTTACGCATCAAAACTACGGGATGTCAGCTGCTCTTCCCAATGGGGCATGTGGCCTAGAAGGAAGCAGGCAGGGCCCCCGCTGGCTGGCCCCTCGCCTACCTTGCTGGATGAGCACCTCCGCTGCCAGCTCCCCGGTGCCCACGTTGGCATACTCCTCGTTGGGGTGCTTCCTGTTGTAGTGCCGCTTCAGAGAGCCAGATATGTTGCAGGAGTAATGGCAATGGGCACAGCGGAAAGGCTGTGGGGACAATGAGCAGGGGTTAGGGAAGGTGAGCCCCAGATGTCTGCCTTCGCGGCTGCTCCCACCTGATGAGCATCTGACACCCAGAAAGCCTGAGATGAGCAGGCCCTGTCACCTGTGACATGCTCTCAGGAAAACCACTGGGGCAGGAATGCTGAGACCTGCCTTTGCGGTGACCAACCAAGGGACTGGGACAAGGTGCCCCAGAGGAGGAGCTGTCTCTGCTGAGGGAATTTGCTTGTTACTTCTTTTCTTTTTTCATCCACCTCAGAATTTAGTTTTTGTTCAAGAAGAAGACAAAAAAAAGCAATATAGTAATCTATCTTTTTTTTAAGTGAATAACATTAAAAGTGGCTCGTGTTACAATTGGTTCCCTGATATACAGTCAGGTGTCACATAACGACACTTCACTCAGTGACGGACTGCATATACAACAGCGTTCACAGCAATAGTTTCTGCCATACAGCCTGCAAGTGCAAGGTGGCTATACTGTCTACATCTGTGTAAGTACATTCTATGATGTTCTACAACTAAGAATTTGCTTAAGGACACATTTCTCAGAACGTATCCCTGCCATTCAGTGGTACATCACTTTATTTGCTTCTTTAGCTAAATGAATTCCTCCTCGGTATTTGTCTGCATGCACCGGCATACACAAGTGTCAATCATTAGGGAAATCCAGCAGGTAAAATTTATTTCTCACGCCCACCTGGTCAAGACAAGGTACTTTTAGGATGAGGCCATACATGAGTCATGCAGCCTTGCCTTTCCTCTTGTACAACGCTTTGGAGACTGCATAGATAGTGGGGCCGGGAGACAGGCACCTGCTGGGCCCCTGGGGAAGCTTCATGAGACCTGGACTTTGGCTGGGTGACAAATGTACATCCCCATCACTGACAAATGCCATGCCACAGTCCCTGGTCAGGAGCTACCAGCATGCTCCTCTAATCCACGTGCTGTATGATTCTGACAGTGCTCCAGGGACATTCAGGACCTGTTTGATGACCCAGCAGCCTCCTAGCCCAGGAGGAGAAGAGCATGGAGCAGCCACAATAGGAGCAGCACTAGGCATGGTTTATGGGACTCAGATGGAGAAAGTCCAGCCACACCTCTGGCTCTGACCAGTGATGGAACCTCAGGCAACTCATGAAACTTCTCTTAGCACGAACCTTTCATTAGGAAAGTGAGGATCATGCCCATGTCATAAGGTTGTTGTGAGAATTAAATGACATCATATAAACTGATACCTAAAATGCCATACAAAGCATTTCTTATTGATTTTATCAGCAATTCTATCACAATTCTTACTGAGCATCTGGAAGCTGAGGTACCACTGCATCTATTAAGAGCTCAAACACTACCTTTACTCCTCAATTGTCCAATTCATCAATCTTTTCACCACTAGCGCCCAGAAGAGTTAAACCAGTGACAGCAATGTCTGAATATGAAGTGCACCAACAGTAGAGAAAATGTCCTCTCAATGCTGAAGCTTCGATCAGCTCCTCTTTCAAGGTTTCTTCCCTTTAAGTATAAAACTGTGACGAAGTCTTCCCATAGAAGCAGATGGCAGAGAGGGAAAGAAAGTAGGGGGGAGAGGGGGAGGAGAGGGAGAGAGGGGAGGTAAGGCGGGGGGAAGGAGAGAGGGAAAAAGAGAGGGAGAGAGAAAAAGAGAGAGAGAGAAAAAGAGAAAGAAAAAGAGAGAGAGAGAGAAAGAAAGGAAGGAAAGAAGAAAATGAAAAGGAAAATCTTCCACCTCACCCCCTCCTAAGTCACACTCCTTTCTCGTAGGCCCCTTGCCCACCACCTGCCCACCTGCTCCAAGAGCAGTTCCCCCTGCTGCCTTCATGCTGTCATCTCCGTTTCTCAGGCCTCTGTCATCTCCGTTTCTCAGGCCTCTGCCATCTCCTAGAGAACAACTCCTGGGGGTGCCCCCTGCTCAGAACTCATGCTCTCCCCATCCCATCTCCTTAGGCTGGCTGCCACATCCCACTGTGACAGTTGTGACATTGTCATGCCACTGTCACCAGGTTCTGCCAGGGCTCAACTTTCTACATGTATTTATCTGCAACCCAGGCTTAATGTGAAATGCTGGATCTCTCTAAGGTGCTGGCCTTCTCTGGATTTGTTCTGCTCTGGTTCCAGTGATCATTTGTGCATTGTTGATTGGTGGGTCTATATGTTCTGTTGGGTCCTCTCTCCTGAACCATAGATGGGAATTGTCAACTGCCTTCCAGGTATCTTCACAGGGATGTTCTACAGGCACTTGACACTTGAGACACATCTTTCTGCAATATCGGTTAGTCATCAAAGACAGAAACCCAACAGCCATCTTTGGTTTTTCCTTCTTTCTTACTATTCAACTTACCACTAAGTCTTGTCCAGTCTTCCTGAGAAGGCTTTCCAGAGTCTGCCCCTGTCCTCTCTCTAGCACAAAGAAGGGGACCCTCCCAGCCTATAAAGGGAATACTGCCATCCCCAGAAGGGCCAGTCTTGGAAAGACACAGGGCAGTGAATGTGGTTGGTCTAAAATGTTCCCCGGGGACTTAGCCCTACACCAAGGCCACACTCTGCTTACCGGATGCCTGTGCTGCGCCATACCTGTGACAGTCCCTCAGGTAAGGAATCCGTGGAGTTTGGCCCGCAGTGTTTACTAAGACAAAATTGGTCAGGCTTCCTCATCTATCTACTGTGCAGAGAACAAAGGGTCTAAAATTCCAATATATGATTACCACAAAGTTAAAATAAAAGCGAAACCATTTTGAATTGCTTTCATCTCTAAATAAGCAAATAGCATGAAGATATTATTTTTGGAATGCTAGCATTTACAGAGAAATCAAAAAGAAAATGCGAAAATGCTACATTGCCAGCATCAGGCATTCAGCGGGCATAAAAGGCAGGAAGAAAAAGGGCAATGAAAATAAGAAACAGTCCTGCAAATCTAGCTTCAGACTCGAGAGCCCATTTCACCCTTCTTGCAGCAAAGCAGATAAACAGCTTCCTGTGAGTTCAGCTCCTTTGTTTCCCATGCCCATCCATTAGCAGAAGTGCTAATGAGAAGAAAAATTGCCAAAATGTGAGCATATTGGCAAAAAAAAAAAAAAAAAAAAATGTACATGTGAGCCCAAATGAGAAATCAGTCTCTGAGCTAGCAATTTCTACCAAAATTTTCAATTCTTAAAGTTGAAAGAAAGACTTGACTTGGAGAAACCTTCTTTCCATGGAAGACTTTCCCGTGTAGCCTCTCCAGCAGTCTGCTGTCTACTTAGCCTCCACTTTGACACAGGGCTTCAAAACATGCCCCAGCAGCCTTTTCACTGCAGACCAGTGCAGGGGAGGTTAGGAGGATAAACCTCCAGTCTCCTTCCTTCACTGGTCTTGCTTCTATCCTTCATATCCATTAGAACCTCTACATAAAGTCAATTACCACTCATTTTCTACTGGGGACCTTCTCTCCCAAAGTAGGGGAACTGAGCCCCATCTAGGCTCTTTAAGCAGAACAAGTCCTGAACTGTGAGGCATTGCCACAGGCCAGCAGATAATTCCCCTGGGACTGACGCAGGGGAGGAGACAGACAGAGGGAGGGAATGGCATTGCTAAGCCACTGCCAGGCATAAAAGCTGTGATACTGCAAGTCTCAAGATTTCATTTATGAAGCATATATTTACTGACCTCTGACTGTCCTCTGACCCCAGGGATACATGGCGAATGAGGCAGATTCATGATTCCCTAAATATACACAGGCTTGGGGACTTAAATATCAGCTCCAAAGATTAAACACTATCTGGGCAAACTAAATCATAACACTTGGTTTCTAAGTCAGAAACTCACAAACAGCAAATGACACCAAATCTCAAAAGGGAGGTTATTTATTCAGAGCTTTCAGGACAGAATCTGGCTGAGAGTTGGGAGGAAGATATAAACTGGCTCCATGGCTCATTTGGAATGCAACATCAAAGTTCTTAGTGTGGTCCAAAAAGTAAGACAGGGAGCCTATTAGCATAGCTATTACTCAATGCTGCACAGAAGTTCTTAACCAAAGTAAGGAGAGCTAACGTGATAATTATTACTGATTTATCTAATTTTTACTGATAGCTACTATATGCCAGATAGTTCTAAATGTTTTGCATGGATTCATTCCTCTAAGTTTCACATCAAACTCCTATGTTATTTGTAATTATTATCCTCATTTTTGCAGGTAAGGAAACAGAAACAGAATGGTTTGAGACTTGCCCCGAGTTTCATAGTCTCCTAGCCTGGCTACTTGCTTTGCATCAGACTTTGGGCCCCAGGCCCAGCCAACAATAAAGAGATGATTTGGTTTTCCACTGGCCATTTTCTTTCCCTAGCATGTGTCTCCCTAAAAGTGCAACTGAGAGGAGCACAGGTTGGTATTCTTGGGTCTCCTGGATGGACATAAGATGCCCCAGATCTAAGTATCAACCTCAAGAACAAGGAACCCCAAGGTGGACTGGGAGAGATGTGGGCAGTTACTGGCTGTAACTATGAGGCAGGGACTTGGCAAGAGAGAAGACGAGCATCGATACCAGCCAGGCCAACATGGTGTGCTGTTTGCTGGGTCAGGAGGGTGATGGTCGGCAATGGGAGCCCCTGGTAGGTGTCAGGCAGGACAACGTCCAACTTCCCATTTGGAAATAGCACTCTGGATATTTGGAAGTTAAATGGAAAAGGGACCTGAAAGGAACAAGACTGGAGGCAAGAAACCAATTACCCAGTTAATTGCAGTGATACGGACAAGAGATATTAAAGGCCTAAAATGAGGCCAGGGAATAAAAATATGGGAAAGGAAGAGGACATTTAAGAGAGATGGAGAAGGTGAAACCAGCCAGACCTGATGGCTGGGATAATGTGTGAGAGGGAGGAGATGGAGCCACTAGGGTGACTCCCAAGTTTCTAGCATGGATGGCAGAGGGCCAGGAAGGCCACCAGCAAAAAAGGAAGTCATGTGGATAACAGGAGGGAAAGAGTGCATTCCTAGA